TATCATGGTCGAGCTCACCGGCGAACCCCATCTCCTTCAGTTGGCGATCGACCTCCTCCATGCTATAGGTGTAGAAGTCCATCCCCATCTGAGCAGCCTCTTTGAGAAAAGCCGTCGAGGAGAGATAGTCCTTGATCAACTGCTCTCGATAGGCCCGGAGGAAATTTTGACCAACTTGGGTCCTCCACAGCGCCCGGCGAGACTGCTCGATTGCAGTGATAGCAGCGGCTTCAACCTCTTTCTTTCGATTAGCCTTCTCCACCTCGAGAGCCTGATCCTTGCCCTTCAGCGCATCCTTATACCGCTGCTCATCCCTTTTTAGCTGCTCCGCCAAGGCGTGTTGTGTCTTGAGCAGGTCCTCGTTCTCGGCCTTCAACCGCCTGTTCTCCTCCTCAAGACGCCTATTATCGCCCTCGAGCACAGGAATTGGGCGACCGGTGCTGTTCAACGTTTCCTCGAGCAGAGGCACGACAGAGACCAAAGCCTGTGGCAAGAATAAAGTCAAGTACAACACGAAGCAGAGAGCTCGAAGGTAAAGTTAAAGAAGGAAATATACCTGCGTCACCGCACAAACAGCATACTCGGCCTGGTTGCGACGATTCACCCCCCAACGATGTGTATCGTCAAAGGGTAAAAAGCCCATCAGCCGGGACACGGTTTCTCGAGGACCAGCAGACACAAGCGAAAGAGAGGAGTAAGAGGGAGGAGGATTTCCAGAAGAAGCAGCTTCGGGCTGTGGTCGCTTGGGAGAGGGAAGAGGATTATTTGATGAGGGACCAACTCCCTCAGTTCGGGGACGTTTCTTGGAGACATCACCCTCTCTGGAAGAATGGGTGGAATGACGGTCGACTTGCCGAGGAGGAGGGGAAGGAGCCCGTTGCTTGTTCGAATGGGAGGAGGCGCCAGCACCAGATTTCTCTTGTCGAGAGGGACCATCCTTGGTCGACGATTGGCCCTTGGGTTTCTCGACATGTACAGGAGTGTCCCTGTGAGCAGACCGCCTGTCACCAGTTTTCTTCAAATCCGGCTTATGCAAAAATCCCTCTGCAAGAATGATAGAGCTAGTTAGAAGTCGATCAACAATAGCAAACAAACCTAAGGCAGGATGATAATCCGAGCACCTGCTCGAGCTGTCGCGTTTACTTCAGCAAGCTTAGGGTGGACGCGGATTTGAAGAATGGTCTCGGCGAGAGGAGGAGAAAAGGTCTTAT